ATTAGGGTTGAAAGGGCAAATATGTGAAAACCACTTAAGCCGAGGCCCCAACCCACCAGTAAGTGCTGTTGCAGCCACTGGAATCTTCTGTCGTTCACTCGGGCTAAACCACCTGGTAAACGCAGAGAGCATGGCACGAGCTATGCCATCGGATGTGGTGACCGTGCTTCCAGCTTTCTCTGCCCGCACCGCGTTCTGTGACTTTGGAAACGCACCTGCCCTTCGCTGAGATGACTCAGCTAAAGCTGCTACCAAGCCCCTCGCAAGCCCGCTTCCAGCCAGCCTTCGGATGAATGAAGGAGCTGGAATTAATTCCCTGTGTTTCTCCGCCCCAGGATCAAAGGGAGCCGCAAGGGCTGAGGAGGGGCGGGGGTTGGGGATGCAAGACAGAACCGGCCCCAAGTTCTGAACTGGCAGAAGCACAACTGCGGTTCAAACTAGGCTCTGCGGAGCTGCGGGGTGCCGGCCCCGCCCCGGGTTCTGCTCTGCCTGTGCCCTTGGGAGGTAAACACAGCTGCCAGGAGGCGAGCCCCTCCACCGTGGCTAATCCCGGGCCACAGGGCGAGCAGGAACCCAGAGGTGCCCTGCGAGGTGACGCGTTTTCCAAAAAAACGTCAGCAAGTGCACAGAGCAGGGAGGGGACAAGGCAATGCAAATACAATGAGACTCCAGAACGCGAGCGCAGGCTGAATGCACCTGCCGCTGCAGCCTGCCTGGCGCGGCCTGGGCTCCACTGCCCTCTAGCGGCCACACGGGGACCAGGAGGCAGGTTTAACCCAAGGGCAGGTGCTGGAAGGATCACAGGGCTTGGAGTCTGTGGGAAACCAGACGCCCTCTCCCCACCCTGCGGCCACCGGCCTGGTGCAGCCTCTCCCTCAGCTCTCCCTGCGGTCTCCAACAGCCCTTCCTTTGCGTTCATAAGCATCACAAAGCAGCTACGGAATGCTGACTGCAGGCGCTCACAGTGCACTCTTGCAACATTCCTTGAAACTGGGTGGTATCTCATTTACAGATGAGGAAACTGAGGTTCGCATGGGTGAGAGGACTTGGCAGAGACCATATTGCTAGCTACTGGGATCTAAAGTTTAAACACAACAGTGCCCTGGGCTGGGCCCATACACCTAACAGCCTCACTAGGAATCTGACAGAACCCAACTCCCACTACAGGGTGGGGACCACACTCTGGGGATGGGACAGCCTGTGTGCTTTAACCAGAGCAGCGGTCACCAACCTTCCGGACCGGACCTCACGGACACCGGTGCTCTGAGGACCAGCGACCCCTGCCCCAGGGGACCCAGAGGTCCCTGCGGGAGCCCTGCATCCCGCTAGAACTCTCCTGGAATCGAGTGGCCACAGCACCCAGGTGGTCTCCCTAACACACACTCCCAACTGCCTGAAGCCCTAACAGGCCTTGGGTCTAACTCCTTACCCAGCATCAGGCCCCTTCCCAGCTGCCCTGTCTCCCTCTCCAGCCCCACGCCTGTCACTCCCCCCTGCCCCCAGGCTCCCTCTCCAGCCCCACGCCTGTCACTCCCCCCTGCCCCCAGGCTCCCTCTCCAGCCCCACGCCTGTCACTCCTCCCTGAAGCCCAGGAGAGCAGCGGGTGGAGGGGAGGGAACCTAACTCCGCTCTAACGCACTCTGCTGAGACTCCCCTGTGCTGAGCACTGGGATGACACGCCCTGCCTGTGGGAAAGTCAAGCTGCCCAGACTGGGGAACCTGCAACTCAGAGAGGGGAGGCCTGCCGACATGTGTGCCACCGGTAAGTGGCAAGACCAAGACCCTGGTGCCATCTGACACCACTGCCCCCGGGGCTTCCAAGCCAGCTGGGGCCAAGCTAGTTAGGGAGCGGGCCGGTCCCTTTGCCTGTGGGCTCTGATATCTGAATGGGCACAGACTTCCCACACAGGCTCTGTCTTTACTTAATGGAACCACAGGCCAAGGTGCAGCTGATTCCACCCAAAAAGCCTTCTTGACCTCCTTCTCTGTGACCCTAATAAGGGGACAGGAGTTCACAGAGGCCACAGCTCGGGCACTCCCGCGCCATTTCTGTGATAGCCAACATTCTACAGACCAGGGGAACAGCAGGGCCAGGGCAGTGGTTCTCAACCAGCTGTGACAGCTCCCCGGGAGCGTGGCTGGGGTAGGGCGGTTCCAGTGTGCGGCCAGGGCTGGGGAAGGACCTGGGCTTTGGAGCCTCGGAGATTTAGATCCTGCTCCTCCCTGCTCGTGCCTCCTGCCCAGCTTCAGATCCAGGGGATGAGAGCTGCTCCGCCTGCCTCTGTGGGTCGCTGAGGGTGGAGGCGGGGCTTACCTTTCTTCTCTGGTTCCTGCCCATCAGCATTTTTGCCAGAAAGCAGCAAACTCCAATTTTTTTATAGATATATTTTATTGATTTTTCACAGAGAGGAAGGGAGAGGGATAGAGAGTTAGAAACATCGATGAGAGAGAATCATCGATCAGCTGCCTCCTGCACATCTCCTACTGGGGATGTGCTCGCAACCCAGGTACATGCCCTTGACCGGAATCGAAGCTGGGACCCTTCAGTCCGCAGGCTGATGCTCTATCCACTGAGCCACACCGGTTTCGGCCAAACTCCAACTTTGATGGTAACAACCGTCTAAGATTCCCGCCCTTTACATCTGTCTCTGTGATTGTTAAGCCACGTCTAGACTAGGCTGAACCTTCACAGTTGGGATGTTGGACTCACGTACAGGACATAACACAGAGGAAGAACCTGGGTTTCAAACCTGGCCCCCCCGGCCCTGGGCAAGTCCCCTAACCTCCCTGGGCCTCAGTGTCATCTGTAAAATGGGTCCAAGTGCAGTCCAGTCTGATTCCTCCCTCGCTTACAGTGCCCAGCACTCAGGGAGCTCAGACATCTGCCACTCCAGCAATGCTTCCCTCCTACGGAGGACAGAGGGCCTCCCCTTGCCTGGCTGGTTTGGCTCAGGGGCAGAGCATCAGCCTGACAACTGAAGGGTCCCAGGTTAACTTCCGGTCAAAGGCACATATGTGGGCTGCGGGGTGATCCCCAGAAGGGGGCGTGCAGGGGGCAGCCGATCAATGATTCTCTCATCATTGATGTTTCTCTCTCCCTCTCCCCCCCCCCCCCCCACTCTGAAAGCCATAAAAATATTTTTTTTTAAATAGCCCTTCAGCCGCCACCCCAGGGATGCACCCATCATATATGTCCAACAAACCCTCCCAGGCCTCCATGGAGAGGCCCATTTCAGTGGGGACTTCCCTCCACATTGACGCGAACCTCCACTCTGGGAACCGCCAGTGCCCACCCTGCTCCCCTGTGGCCCTCGGGCCGTCTTGAGATCTTCTCAGATTCCCGGCTGTATCTGCCGTCGCCTGGCCCACATTCGGTCTTTGAAGAAAGAAAGAGGAAACCAGGTGAACTGAGCGCGTTTTCTTGGCGGAAACAGGGCGGTCCCGGGAGCCCCGGTGGCAGTCCTGCCAGGCAGCAGCACCCGGTGACTTCGCTGTGACACGGCGGTGAGGCCCCGTTCTCACACTCCGCCCGCTCCTCCAAGGGGTGACGGGCCCAGATGCCGGGTGCCTTGAAGTTCAACAGCTGGTGGCTCCGTGTCTGCAACAGTTTCAAACATCTGAACTGCTAGCAAATTGGCGATTACTGGCTGACTAGCTCTCAATTTAGGATCCCTAAATGAAAATCAAGAGCCTTAGTTCTAGAAGTGGGTATTCGACGATGTGTTAAATACTCATTTCCCCCAAATTCCACCCTACGCCCATCCTTTACTGTGCCAAATGAGGTCAGCTTAGGGGACAAGGAAAGGTAAGAAGGTAGGAAGGTTTATATTACACTACAGATACGGCATAAACACCTGCACAATACTAATAGCTACTGATCAAACATCTACCAGGCATATATCAACTCATTTAACCCTCATAAGTTGTACGGTGATTACGAATGTCACAGAACTCAGCCAAGGACAGCTTATGGGAGTGACGTGACGTGGCCAGTCTCCCTGAGGGTGACAAGGAATTGGCCTGAGGTCTATCCTGCTCTTCCCTGCCTCCCTGGCGACTCTGCCAACCAGGGCAAAAGGAAATAGCCCGGAGCCTGACACCCTCCCTCCTTCCCTTCGTCTCCACACCATCTCCTATCCCATCATCTTCCCCACAGCCCGGGACCCTGTCAGCACCTCGGCTTTGCTCCAAGCTGCGGCACCCCGCACGTGTCCTCTGCCCTCTAGTCACACCTCCACTTGCTCTAGGTCCACTTCCCACACCCCATCCTTTCCAGCAACCTCAGCAAACAAGAGCTTCCCCCTCCCTGCCTCCTATCTCCACCGTCAGTGCGCAGTTCTGACTGAAGCTCCACTGTCGGCAGGCACCATCCATCACGGGCCCAGCCGGGAGCAGACTGGAATCGAACCCGGGACCTTTCAGTCCCCAAGCCGACGCTCTATCCACTGAGCCAAACCGGTCCCGGCTTTTTTTTTTTTTTTTTTTTTTTTTTTAATTAATTGATTTTAGAGGGAGGGAGGGAAGAAGAGAAGAGAGGATAGGAGGGAGGGAGAAAAACATCGATTTATTATTCCACTAATTAATGCACTTATTGGTTGCTTCTTGTGTGTGCCCTGAACAGAGATCAAACCTGGCGTATTGGAACAGCACGGTGCTCTGAGCAATAGAGCCACCTGGCTAGGGCCCCCAACTCTCCCTTTCTCCCACCCTCCAAGCGAGGTAGTGGCCAAGCAGAAGCAAGTCCAATGAAGTCCGCCCTAACCCCAAAAGCAGGCCAGATCCCAGAGGACAGGTATGCTGGTGTCATCACCCACACTGAGAGCCTCACGCAGGAGAGAAAAGGAACTGCTATCACACACAAGAAGGCAACTGGAATGGGCAGCCTGAAAAAGACTTTTATACTTTACAGCAATGTACAAATACTGTAGGTGCGCACCAACTCGGAGAGAACAGACCAATTAATCTCAGTTCAGTCTGTCTCTCGAGGTCAGGTCCTCCCATCAGGAATCATTGGGAAGCCCAAACAGCTTCACAGTTCCTGCTTCCCGACTGCTGTCATATTTGCCATCTTTGTCATCACAGGCAAATGCCAGCAGAGGCCTTTTGGGGTGCCAGGCCACAGTGAAGGTCGGGGACTCACACTGCACCTCCCATAGCTTGTCTCCTACAAAAATCAATATAGAGAAACCAATCAATACATTAGTAAGAGAACACACTCATTAAGCACTTAGCTAAATTAACTCATTTAATCCACTTGAGAGCCCCATGAGACAGACACAATCATTCCCCCACTTTACAAAGAACACGGAGGCGCAGAGAGGTCACAGGTCATTGGGTGGCAGAGCAGGTTCTGAACGCAGACGGGTTAACGTAAGAGCCTATGCTCTGACCTGGCCTACACTCGGTGGGAAAACAGTGAGCAGACGCTGATGTTCACTGAGCATCCTATGAATCACACGGACTATACTTTATTCCCATAAAGTATAACGACAACCCAGCAAGACAGGTAATGGTTTTCAACACCATTGTACACAGAAACGAGTGACTTAACAGTAAATCACATCTCAAGGAAGCAACGGAGTCAACACATGAGGTCAATCTGTTTCCAGGCAGCAGATCCACCTACTAAGTCTCAATGCTTTCTAATAAGAGTAAGATAGGTTCTTTCTCCCAAAATTGCATTCCTCCCACTTGTTGAAATTCAAACCCCACTCAAAGCGGCAGTGAGCTCAGCAGCCACTGCACTGAGAAGCTGGAACATTCTGCAGGTGAGGCAGGGTCCAGAGTAACAGGTGAGAACCCCAGCATCACAGGAGCTGCGTGGCTGGACCATGTTCCCCATGATGTGACCAACAGTGGCATTCTTTAAATCACGGAATTTCAAGTTTTTTACTACTTCTCTGAAGTTTTCTACATAGTTTTAATTCTTTACTAAAGATTCATGTATTTCCAAAATACAGCTACTTTAAAAAATAAAACTGAGGAAATTCTCTTGTAATATGATCACACTCTATTTGCAAGTTCTGTTTTGCTATTTTTAAAGCACATCACACCTACTTTGATAATTCCTTAAAGTTTAAATATACATATACATATATATGTATATACACACATATATTTACATATAGGCAAAAAATAAAGAGAAATATATTACAATGCTAAAAAGAGATAGCAATTAAATGATGGGACCACAGGTCCTTCCTTCCTGTATTGTAAATTTTTCATTATAATGAAAGAATTAAAAGTTAATAAAATAAAAAATATTTTCCTAAATCACTTTCCTTCAGACCTGCCCCTGCCTTTCCTAATTCTTTGCTCCCTCCTTACCTGACTGTAACAGTCGTAAAAAACAAACTTGCCTTAAGGAGACAAATTCATTGATACTAATACTGATGGAGTGATGTGCAGAAATGAAATCACATGACAGGAGAAGTCCTGATGGCCAGAGAAGAAGGAAGAGAAGGTTCTTGTTAAGGTAGGGAGGTTTTAGTCACCTGTCTCTACTTCAGCAATGTCAATAAAATGATCTTCTGATGCTGAAGCAAGCATTTTCCCATCATGGCTGAAACTGAGGGTCCTCACAGGCCAATCCAGCCTAAGGAGAAAGTAGACATACAAGAGTAGACAAAGGAGACATTAGAATAACCCAATAATTCCCTATGCTGATATAAAGTTCAGCATAGGGAATATAGTCAATAATCCTATATAATATGGGAAGGGGGGGGCAATGGTAACATATGTACACATATAATACCTTAATAAAATAAAAATAAAATAAAAATAATCCTATATAAAAGGCCAATATGCAAATCAATCGAATGGCAGAAGGACCAGTCACTATGACGTGCACTGACTGCCAGAGGGCTGAAGGTCAGCGCAGGAGCTGCCCCCTGGTGGTCAGTGCCCTCCCACAGGGGGAGCGCTGCTCAGGCAGAAGCCAGGCTCATGGCTGGCGAGGGCAGCGGTGGAATGGGAGCCTCTCCTGCCTCCGTGGCAGCGCAAAAAATGTCCGGCTGATAATTTAGGCCACTTTCTGGGAGGAGCGGGCATAAGCCGTCAGTCAGACCTCCCCCGAAGGCTCCTGAACTGTAAGAAGAGGCAGGCCAGGCTGAGGGAATCCCCTAATCCGAGTGCACGAATTCCGTACACCGAGCCTCTAGTATTGTAATAACTATGTATGGTGTCAGGGGGTACTAGACTTATCGAGGAGAACAATTTGTAAGTTCTATAAATATGTAACCATTATGCTATATACCTGAAACTAATAATACTGAGTATCAACTGTAATGTAATAAGATTTTAAATAACCCAATAAGAAGGCACAATTTTACCTAAAATGAAATAAAATGTCCCACAAGGCAAGTGCTGGCAGTGTCGCTTACCTGGAAAAGCACCGAACACACACTAGTTCATCCACATCCCAGAGGCTGACCAAAGCATCTGCGCTTCCTGTGGCAAAGTACTTCCCCATGGGGTCAAACTTGATGCAGATGCAGTTAGAAGGATGGGCATTGATGGACTGCACAGGCTTCAGCTCTGGGTAGCTGCAAAACATGACCGACAGCAATCAAACTGTGCAAAGAGGACTGTAATGCTAAAGTAACAATAGGAGACACTAAAGAGGAAAACCAAAGACAACAGAATATCAAAGACTGTATTTAAGAAAGCTTTCCTTAAATACAGATTTCAAACAACACACCACACACCTGAGACTATAAACCCAGATGTGACACAGAGATAAAATTACTGATTGGAAAAGAAAATTCAGTTATTATTAGACCTTTTTGCCAGTAACACTTTATGTCAAAAGAAAACATAATACATATTTAAGATACACAAGCAAGGGTTTTTAAAGCTAGCGAGACTGATTATCAATTACCAAAAGTTCAAATAAGCACAATAATAAAACATCTATAAGTTTCATTAAGTATTTGGTATAACTATGAACTCAGGGAATATTGTTTCCATGAACCATTCCTGAAGAATCTAAACTAGAGAATGAGCTTTGACAATCCAAATGACTAAAGATTTATCAACATCGTGCTGGTGATGAGCATTACATACAGTTTCTTGTAGAAACTACATATGGTTAAAAGGAAAGGTATATGAAATGGCTCTATACTCTGACAATCTATAGTATTACTTTTTTTTTTAATAGAAGAAGGAGAAAAGCACATACAACCAGCAAAATTTACTGTTTTAAGTAGTTACATTGGTGGTGGTGGTTATTCTGAGATAATTGTATGTGTAATGTCAGATAAAGGTAATAAGCAACCATGGAGCATTCTAATTCTATAATCCCCTGCATCTTTGAGGACCAGAATACTCTGAAAGGAAAGAGATTTGTAATATAGAAGAGATTTAATAAAATTCCTCGTCTTGAATTTTAATTGGAAATCATCGGTATAAATTCCTAATTTTATCACTTAAAAAAACTGTTTAAATACCTAAGTCCATAATGATTAAACACACACACACACACAAATCTCTAGTTGGTCATATTTGTGTTTTTTTGTTTGTTTGTTTGTTTTTAATATATTTTTTATTGAATTTTTAACAGAGAGGGATAAGGATAGAGAGCTAGAAACATCGATGAGAGAGAAACATCGACCAGCTGACCCCTGCACACCCCCAACCGGGGATGCACCTACAACCAATGTACATGCCCCTGTCCAGAATCGAACCTGGGACCCTTCAGTCCGCAGACCAGTGCTCTATCCACTGAGCCAAACCGGTTTCGGCTAGCTGGTCATATTTGAAGATGATAGGGAACTAATGCATTACCCAATGATAAAGAGAAAGAATCAAGCATGTATCCTGTCTTCCCTAAATGAACTATATTCCTTGAGTAACCAAATAGTAAGTGAGAGGACTTGTCTCATATTCCTACAAATAAATAAGCATTATGAGATCAGCAAAATCCAGACTAGGAAAATCTCTACTGGTTTTTCAATAGTAAGCCAAAGCTAAAAGAAAGGATGGAGGGGGACCTTCTAGATGAACAGACTTAAAGAGACTTATCAAACCCTTTAAAAGGGCAAACGCTAGAACATCTAGAGATACTTGATAGTTAAAACTATAAACAACGATAAAACTCAAGGCAGTGCTTACTTTTCAGGAGAGTGGGTTATGATTAGGAAAAAGCGTATGGACTGACTTCTGAGATGGCCAGCAGAGTACTATTCCTTGACCTAAGTAGGTTACACAGGTGTAATGCATATAACTATTCATTAAGCTATACATTTGTTTTATGTGGTTTCCCATATCTGTTTTACTCTCTAATAAAAAGGCTTTGAAAGTAAGTTATAGAATCCCCACTGCTTACAGAGTAAAATACAAGTTACCAAGCACAGAAATCCAGGCCTTTTGCGATCTGGTCCCAAATCGTATTTCAACTTTACCTTGCCATGTTCGGACTCTTTTCAATACCTTAACTGCCACCCTCTCAGCAGCCCTGACCTACCAACTCCTCTCCAAATAAGCCATGCTCACTCACACCTGCTTTGTCACCTGTGCAGTTCCCTTCCTCTCACCCTTAAAAGTTCTACTCATCTTTCAGTAAAATTCAGAAGTTGCCTCCTTCAACCTCCAACTCCAGTTTCTTTCCTCACGATTCCCCAGCAAACCCAGCCTCTCTGAGGTGAGACCTGCTTCCGTCTGCCTCGCATCGCTCACCCAGGACAGCAGGAAGAACAGCACCAGAAAGACCTGGATTCCAATTCCACCATTTCATTCGTTTAGAGAGCAAATATTTACTGAAATCCTTACTATGTGTAGCAGGGACTGGGCTAGGCATTAGGAATTCAACAGTAAACAAGCTAACCACAGTCTCTACCCTCACGGAACTTACGTCTAATGGAGGATACTGACAAGTAAGCATACAAATAGAAGATAAAATGAGAAATGGTCCCAATAGGAAGCACATCAAACAAGCCTCTGACCTTGAGGAGGGAGGGGTGTGAGATGGCTTCCTGGCAGTGAGTGTGATATATTTTAGCTGAGATTCTAAGGGTACAAATTAGCCACAATTTGAGGTGCATCCAGTTCTAGAGCTCACCAGCTGACCGGGGACTCGGAACCCCAGATCCTTACCTATCAAATGGGAAGCACACCATCAAACCCTTAGAATTTCTGAGAGAGAGAAACATCAACCAGGTGCCCCCTGCACACCCCCTGAAGGAGCCTAATGGATATACTGTAATAAGCCCTAGTCTCTGTTGAGCTGGGTACCTTATGTTTTGCCCAGCTCAACAGAGGCTAGGGCTTATTACATTGTATCCGTTAGGCTCCTTCAGGACAGACTCACACCTAATCCGTCTCAGCAACCACCAGCGCCCCCAGCTGTTGCGGAGAGGACGGTTCCCTGAGCTAGGAGCCCTCACCTGAGGATGTTGATGCAACCATTGCCATTCGTCAGGAAGAACATGTTATTGTCGTTGTTCCAGGAGATTTCGTTGACCTCGAACTTGAACTGCTCCTCCGCTTTCGAACGGTGTGTCTTGGCGTCGATAAAGGTCACCACATCGTCCTTGTTGCCCACGGCGATGGTCTGCCCATCGGGACTCCAACAGATGTTAATGTTCTCCCCTAGAAAACCAGATGTAATCAGTAAGATCATCTGTGTGTTCAGAATCCTCCAGAAGTTTCTTTTGTTATCCTAGAAGGAAGGCCAGAGTTATCTCCAGAGTTCATTCATTAAGGTCATGTCAATGTAAGGCAACGAGCAACTAAGAATCAGCAACTATGAGCCGGGCATATTCATCTACAGACTTCCCCATGTGGGCCTCCCAACACTGTCTCTATTAGCAATTCATTATCCCTCTTCACAGGTGAAGAAATGGAAGAGATGAGCCAACCTGCCAAAGCTGAAAGAGCCACTAGATATGGCTCCAAACCTGTTATTCTCTTACACCAGCATTTCCCAAACTCCGGTCATTCACATGCCACTTTCACGTTTGTCCTAATCACGTAATAGCTATACTTTTCTTTAAAGCTGACTCGAAAAATTTAATTTAGCTTTAATTTAGTAATTATTTCGATAAGCTGTTTTTTTTTTTTTCTTTTTTTTATATTTTATTGATTTTTTACAGAGAGGAAGGGAGAGGGATAGAGAGTTAGAAACACCAATGAGAGAGAAACATGGACCAGCTGCCTCCTGCACACCCCCTACCAGGGATATGCCCATAACCAAGGCACATGCCCTTGACCGGAATGGAACTTGGGACCCTTCAGTCCGCAGGCCGATGCTATATCCACTGAGCCAAACTGGTTTCGGCTGGTTCTTTTTTTCTAATAGACATTTATGTGTGTGTGTGTGTTTATGTATATATAACCGATTTTTAATGTTCATCCACTTATACGTCATAGGGAAATAACTACATCATCCCACCTACAGGTATGAGTCTTGCCAACACACTGAACACATCAATTAAAAATCTCATCAACTTTACTAATTCTCTAAGATGCACATATTTTCCATATTTTATTATCTAGGATGCATCTTAAAATGCATTGAATGCATGTCAAAATTTTTGGAATACATTGTTATCTGGAAGTTTTATTTCCTTTCCTAATGGCACTTAAAATATTGGTCTAGCTTATAATCAATGACATCTTAATCAAAAACACATGGTAAATTACCTCAAGGTTTACAGGACGATACTGGTGAATAACAGCCTGTAAAGGCACAGGGCCTTTTCTCCCAGACCCCCAAGCCCTTCCAAGCGTCAGCCATCCTAGCCTATGAGCAGTTTCCCAAAGGCTCCATGTCTGTGCACATGTTCCCTCGTTGAGCTGCCCTCCCTCCCGACCGCTAAATTTCCACGGCTCCTCTAAGAGTCTGCACAAATTCTGTGAGGCCCTCCCTGTCTCCCCCAGGCAGACCTCAGCATTTCCATTCTGGGCACCCGCTTTATAGAGTAAAATATAGGCATAACCACGTCATATTTTGTTAAAGGATTTTTTTTTTTTTATGCACTAAACTGTGATGTCGTTGGAGCTCAGGATGTCCCATAACCAGCACCGGGCCAGGTATTTGAAATGTGCTTGTTGACTGAATGTAAGTGACGTGTCTTCCCATTGCCCCTCTCTGAGCTCACCTTTCGTGTTCACAGTAGCGATGCACTTGGTGGTCCTCACATCCCAGATGCGGATGGTTTTGTCTCCAGACGCGGTGACGAAGAGGTCAGGGTTACTTGGATGCCAGCACAGCTGGTCCACGCTATCACCATGTCCGCGGTAATTGTTTTCTTTGACCTGAAAGAACAGACTCCAGGTGTCACACATGTGTACCTGCCAAACGTGACTCCGTACCCTCATTCAGGTGTAAATCCTTAACCTCACGTGTAACAACTTAACGGGACGTGTACGTAACTTCTTAACCTTCTCGGACCAACAAAAATTTAGAAAATTAAAATGAGTCCGGTTCTTCCAAAACTCTTCCCAAATCCCCTCCCCTTCCTCCCCACTCACCCTGCCCCACAGGAGGCTGGTTTCCACATCAACACCATCACTGCCGCCGAGGGTCCCAGCGCATCTGCTCCTTCCACGGGAGCCTCCCATAGTCACCGGCCCTCTCGCCCGACGGGGACCCCACAACAGCCCCCCCCACACACACACACACACACACTCCCCACCACACACCCTTCCTGCCGCTCCCACACCCCTGCTCACCCCTCACCACCCTGCCTTCCTCCCCACCCCCCTCCTCACCACCCCTCCTTTCTCCCCACCCCCCTCCTCACCCCTCACCACCGCGCCCTCCTCCCCACCCCCTCCTCACCCCTCACCACTCACCCCTCCTCCCCACCCCCCTCCTCCCCATCCCTCTCCTTACCCCTCACCCCCCTTCTCACCACCCCGCCCTCCTCCCCACCCCCTCCTCACCCCTCACCACCCCGCCCTCCTCCCCACCCCCTCCTCACCCCACCACCCCGCCCTCCTCCCCACCCCCTCCTCGCCCCTCACACGGGCCCGGCCACCCCCCCCGCGCGCCCACCCCGCCCCGGGTGCCGCCCGCCCGCTCCCGCAGCCCCGCCCGGCCACCCCGCGGCCCTCCCCGGCGCGCCGGGCCGCGCTCACCAGCCGGTCCTTCTCCAGCAGGAAGACGCTGGCCGTCTTGTCGAAGGAGCCGGAGGCCAGGCGGCGGCCGTCGCAGCTCCAGGCCACCGAGTGCACCTTGGCGCTGTGCGCCGGGAACTCGCGCGTCTTGCTGTGGCCGCGGAACAGCTCCTGCATGCCCAGCACGTAGCGCGTGGGGCCGCCGCTCATGGCGCTCCAGTGCGCCAGCGAGCCGGGGCCGCCCGGGCCCAGCGCCGAGGGCCCCAGGGCCGCCGCGGGCACCGCCATGCCGGGCCCCCGCCGCGCCGCGCCGGCCCCGCAGCCTCAGGCCAGCCCGCCCCGCCGCGCCGGCCTCAGCGCGCTCAGTCCCGCCGCCGCCGCCGCCGCCGCACGCATGCGCTCCGACGTGCGGCGTCTCTCCCGCGCAGCCGCACTGCGGCCCACCGGGAAAGGACTACAAATCCCAACGTGCAGCGCGCGCCCGCTCGCGCCTTTTCAAACAGTAATAATTCCGCTTTAATGTTCTGCAAAGTGAACGATTCCGAGACTTTTAGGATTCCTATGTCCCCCTTACCTACTTCTGAGTAGGCAAATGTTATAGTAATAGTAATACAATAGTGAATAAGTAATTAAAGTGTGGCATTGAAGTGTGATATCTGAAAGTGTGGGGTGTAATGTAAACAATCTGATAAGCACCCAGGGGTGGCCTGTGTGTAGAAAATAGATAATGTGATCTGTACCCCCTATGTAAGACCAGATAGCAGGGCTCCTGGGACCCGCTGCTAAGACACACTGAAGACACATAAAAAGAGGAAGCTCCACAGAAGATCAGAGATGTCCTTCTGCTCCTCCACAGAAGGTCTCTCTCCATTCCCCCCTGCCTGCACCAGTGAAAGCTCTGCCCGAGCTGGGAGCTCTGAACCCTGAGCCGCGGGCCGTGAGCCGTCGTGAGAGGCCTCAACTTCAGCCGAGCTGCAGCTGCAACGTCCTCCGTGAACTGTGTGTCTGTCAGTGCGGATCCCCGGGTGGCCTCCTAGGATTCTGGAACCCACCAGGTCTCTGGCAAATAAACCGTGAGTGATTCGTGCATTGCATGTTTGTCTCCTGTGTGATTTATGCTCGGTAGAATTATTCATTAAGTACTTAGGGTCATATGTGTCAGATTTCTGGCTGAAGCACCCTGTCACCTGTGCATACATCCCTTAGGGAATTATTAGGACAGTAACATTTATATCCGTATTTAATCAAAGACGGAAACCAACGTTATCCAAAAGCTTGGCTCCTCATCAGTAAAATACCTTTTTTCTAGAGTTGCTGAAGGCCCCTTCTTTCTGGAGAAGGGCATGCTGGTTAGCTGCTTCCAGTAAAGACTTTCTCCTGTTGGGGAGAGGGGTTATTGAGAAGCGGTCCTGAGATTTGTTTAAATAAACAAATTCTTTGTTCTTAAAAGATACTATATGCACATGATTATATATGCAAAAAATGCAAAAGATACAGAGTAAATCCTCATTCCCCACCCTTCTCACCCCTACCTTAACGTACAGACCCAGCAGTTTTGAGCTGAAGAAAATGGGGGTGAGCAGTCAGCGACAGGCAAGACCCTGGAGAAGGGCTTTGGACGAGGAGGGGTTAGGGGTGGTGAGGAGGTGGCTGGGACTGTGCTTAAAAACATCTTTTGTGACTTTACAATAATCTCAAAATAAAAAGTTGAAAACAGGGTATTTTAAAAATAACACATACAAATGTAAGATAACTTGGTAACAAATTTAAAAGTACAAAACTAGAGTGAAAAGTAAGTTTCCCTCCCGAGTGTGTCCCCAAATTCCCCTTCAGAAAAACACTGGTAAATTGCTGTGGGCCGCTCAGAAATAGTGGGAGAGTAAACAGGTGTGTGTGTATCCTTCCCCCTTCCCCCAAAATGGCACTGTTCCTTACATATCTTTTTTTTTTAATATTTTATTGATCTTTTACAGCAGTGGTTCTCAACCTTTTTAATGCCGTAACCCTTTTAAAAAAAATATTTTTATTGTTTGAAGCATTACAAATAGTAGTACATATGTCTCCTTTTTACCCCCTACCTCCCCCCCAATAAGCCTTCACCTGCCTCCTCCTCCCCCCCTCCCCCGTCTTGTGTCCATTGGTTATGTTCATATACATGCGTACAAGTCCTTCGGTTGATCTCTTACAGCCCCCTCCCCAGCCTCCCTTGCCTTCCCGCTGTAGTTTGACAGTCTGTTCAATGGTTCTTTAATCTCTGTAACTGTTTTTCCCCATTTCTTTTCTGCTGCGACCCTTTAATACAGTTCCTCATGTTGTGGTGACCCCAAACCATAAAATTATTTTCGCTACTTCATAACTGTAATTTTGCTACTGTGAATGAATCATAATGTAAGTATCTGTGTTTTCTGATGGTCTTAGGCGACCCTGCTAGCGATTCTCCACTGTTTTACAGGGAGGAAGGGAGAGGGAGAGAAAGAGACATCGATCAGCTGCCCCCTGCACACCACCTACTAGGGATGTACCTGCAACCAAGGTACATGCCCTCGAATGGAATCGAACCTGGGACCCTAGAGTTCACCTATCCACTGAGCCTAACGGGTTAGGGCCTTACATATCTTGCTTTCTATGATAAACACATGTAAGAAATCATTTCTTATCAGTATATGCAGATGTCCCACTCTTAATGAGTGAAGCACTTAATGATATGAATGTATAATTGTTCATACATCCATATTCAACGGATTATTCAATTGATCCCTTAGATGGACATTTAGTATCTATGCATTTGCTTGTAAACAATGATACAGCGAATATCCCTATACAAACGTCATTATGCAAATGTAAGCTGATGAAGAGGGTCTAACAGTCTGCATCCCCCCTCATCCCCCCCCCCAGCATCGTAGGGGAATATAAGGCCCTAACTGAGTCCACGCTGAAGCTCCAAGAAGGCTCTTGGGAAATGAGTCCTTTCTTTTCCTAATTCTTGGAGACTTCGCACCTTTTTAGACTCCAAAGAACACCAATGAAATCTCTACACTCCTGGAGGAGGAGACACACTGGGGTTCCGTTGTCCCTCCCTAACTTCCATTTTCAGGAATCTTTTCATATGGTTTTATATGGCCCATGGGGCCTATTAACTGCCAAGAACTCATTTCTAACTTCCCAGACAGACAGCCACCCCAGAGTCAGCAGCAGCTCCCCAAAGGGAAGAGGAGAATGACCACAGGAAATTCACTGGAAATACTCAGGGACAAAGCAGGGGACTATCCAGCCCTGAACCTCCCCCGGGAAAACATATCTTACCAGAATAAGGCCCCGTCTGCAGGCTTGGGGAGCTGGCGGCTCCTCCGCAGCCCCCAGGAAGCTGGAGTAGGGATTTGGGACAAGATCCAGGAACCCCAGGCCCCCAGGGGGCCTGGATGCCGGAGTGCTGAAGGATGGAGCAAGGCCAAAGGGGTTGCTGCCCAGTTTCCACCACTGAGTCTTTCCAGTCTCAGCCCTCCCCCTGCAGGAGGCTCTCAGGCTGTGCATTCCTCACGCGGATGACCAGCTGGAGAAGATAAAAGGGCTGCGCCTCCTGAGGGACTGAGCCCTGGCCCCAGGCCAGGAGAGCAGCATGCAGACAGCTGGGGGTTCCTTACCACAGTGGGAATGGCAGCGGAAGTTTCCAGGACCAGAGCAGATGGCTCCCAAGAGGCCTAGCACCACCAGCACTAAGAACAAAACAACACAGCTAAATACACCAACAGGCCCTGGCCGGTGTGGCTCAGTGGATAGAGTGTCGGCCTGCAGATCAAAAGGTCCCAGGTTTGATTCCAGTCAAGGCACATACCTGGGTTGCAGGCTTGGTCCAACATGTGGGAGGCAGCTAATCGGTGATTCCCTCTCATCATTGATGTATCTCTCTCTCCCATCCTCTCTGAAATCAATCAATAAAAACCAACTGTAGGATAGAAACAACTTCAGCAAGATCACAGGATATACAGTAAACATTTTAAAAATTGGTTTTTTTATTTACTAACAATGAACATTCCAAAAGAAAATTAAGAAAGCAATTCCATTCACAACATATCAATAACATCAAATGCTTAGGAATAAACTTAGCAAAGTAAATATAAGGCCTGTGCACTTAAAACTACAAAATATTTGCTAAGAGAAATGAAAGATTTATTTATTTATTCTTAATCCTCACCTGAGGATATTTTTCCTTTGATTTTTAGAGAGAATAGAGGAGAGAGGGAAAGAGAGAATATACCGCCCTCCATCCAGCAGCAAGTCTCTTTCCTAAAATTACAGCAGCAATATGCCATAAACAGATCCAGCACTCATGTGGACTGATACAGAATTTCAAAAATTGAGATGAGCTAAAGCTTGTTTAGCTCAGTGGGTAGAGCGTCAGCCTGCGGACTGAAGGGTCTTGGGTTGGATTTCGGTCAAGGGCATGTACCTTGGTTGCGGGCACATCCCCAGTGGGGGGTGTGCAGGAGGCGGCTGATCGATGTTTCTCTCTCATTGATGTTTCTAACTGTCTATCCCTCTCCCTTCCTCTCTGTGAAAAAGCAATAAAAACATATTTTTAAAATATTGAGATGAATGCCCAGCCCAAGAATGTCAAAAAATTTGAGGAAAATTCTAATATCCAAAAGGAGAAACACCACATACCAAAAAAGAGGGAAGTGCCTGGCCAGTTTTCTCAGTGGATAGAGCATCAGCCTGCGGACTGAAGGGTCCTAGATTCCACTCTGGTCAGGGGCATGTACCTTGGTTGCAGGCTGGGGGCGTGCAGGAGGCAGGCAGCTGATTGATGTTTCTCCCTCATCAATGTTTCTAACTCTCTATCCCTCTCCCCACTTCTCTGTAAATATCAATAAAATATATTTTTTTAAAAGAGGAAGTAACACCAGAGTAAATAGAATTAACAGACCAAACAGAACCTGCTGTGGTTTGCCTTTCCTGTGAGCGAGAGAGAAGCATCAGGCTCAGAATACCCTACACTGAGCCTCGGCTTTGACCTTCACAAGCCAAGAATTTGCCTCTCTTGCATTCTGTGACATACTGGACAGAAACGCAGGGGTTGAAATATCAAAATATTTTCCCAGCCTACCAAACAAAAGATCGTGTTATGCATGTTACAATATCAATGTAACAAAGAGTAGAATTCAAGGTGAAAAGCCCTAGCAGGGACAAACAGAGATATTTCCTATCTATAAAAGAACAATTGACAAGCACTGGATTTTTACATCAGAGCCTATAAAGCAAAATCGAATCGAAACATCAGACTTCTGAGT